GAGAGAGACACATCAGTTGGCTGCCTCCCACTCATGCCCCAACTGGGGTGGAGCCTGCAACCAAGGTACATGCCCTTGGCCGGAATCAAGCCCAGGACCCTTCAGTCCGTGGGCTGATGTGCTAACCACTGAGCAAAACCGGCCAGGGCAAATTAAGTTCCTTCTTTGATCTCAGCTTCCACCTTAAGAAACTAGAAGAAGAGGAGCAAATGAGTCCAAAGCAAGCACATGAAGGGGAAAACCCATCAGCGTAACTTGAACAGGAGAATAGACAATGTCATAAAGCCAACACTTGGTAGTTTCAGATCAATAAAATTGAGCCACACAGATCAGGAAAAGGAGAGGACCCAAGTTACTAACATCAGGAATGAGAGAGATGTCAGTACAGACCCTACAGAAATCAAAGGACAATAAAGATACATTATGAGATGTAAAAATTCCTTGAAAGGCACAACCTACTAAACCTTACTGATGAAGAGAAAGATATCTACCTACAGCTATTAAGGAAAATGTTTATTCTTAAACTCTGCCTGCTGCTAACACCTTCTGATCCCAATGTTGACAAAATAAGTCACAGAATATTCTAACAGCTAGTTACTGTCCAGTGAGGTATAAAGTATTACAACATATACAATACATATGAAATTATATCCAACTGTAATACATTTTAAAGATATTTACTCACCTTGTAATTCTATGGAGCAGAAAAATTGTCCTTTTACTTTCTACAGTTATATCCCGACTAAGTTTTACAAGTCTCTCATACTTGTCATGTCTTGCGTCAAGTTCTTGCTGAAATGCTAAGAATACGTTATTACAACCATAAGCATGTATATTCTGTAATTAAAGCCTATCAGACAATATTGTTACTATGCATGACAAAGCAACTGTTATGTGATAAAGAGAACAAAATCATTTATTTTTAAAGTACTGGGAAATCTAAGATTCTGCTAGTAACCAAAATATTTTCTTTAAATAGAAGTATGCCTTAACTGGGTTTTACCACTCAGAGCCTTAAAATGAGATGTATATATTGTAAAAAATACCTGGTCTATTAAACATGAGATTATCACAAAATTATCACATATAACTACTTTAAAAAATTACTTCCAGCCCGGCGGGTGTGACCAGCGGTTGAACATCGACCTATGATCCAGGAGATGGGGGTTCGGTTCCCAGTCATGGCACATGCCCCGGTTGCAGGCTCGATGCCCAGTAGGGGGTATGCAGGAGGCAGCCGCAAATCAATGATTCTTTCATCATTGATGTTTCTATCTCTCCCTCTCCCTTACTCTCTGGGGGGAAAAAAAAAATTAAATTAAAAAAATTACTTCCAACTACTTTTCCCTAAGTTGCATATATTTTTTTCAAATTATCTTACCACATACAATATAAATATCGCCCTCGCAAAAAACTGGAATTTAAACATTTTTTAATTGATTTTAGGGAGGGGGAGAGTGAGAGAGATATCGATTCGTTATTCATTTACGCATTCATTGGTTGATTCCTGTATATGCCCCAAAAGGGGATGAACCCACAACCTTGGCATATCAAGACAATGCTCCAACCAACTGAGCAACCAGGCCGGGGCAAAATTGGAATTTTTAATTAAAAGCTTATAACTTTTAATATCAACTTTCTGAATTTTCAAGCCCTAGTCATTGAAATACCCCTGAGCCAATTAACTCTTCACAACCACTTTATTTCTGAAGTACTGTTACTTCAAGGACCTGGCAAAGTGCCTGTCCTATAAGGAACACCTAGGAAGTATATTTTGCATGAATTAAAAAAAAAATCCAGAACTTGAATAACTATTAAACAAATTCATAGTTGACAAGGATCTAAATACATCTGATCCTTTATTATTGAGATAATTAGGCTAGGATTTTGCCCAATATTTTAAGACACGCAAATGTCTTTTTTATTTATTATGAATACATGAATGACCACTGTGAACTAGATAGTACGAATACAAAGATAAAGACGACAGTGCCTGTCCTCAAGGAGCTTAGTGCAGTATGAGACAGAGACACCATCAAGTAAAATGTGGTCACCCCATAATGTATGTAAAAGGTTCAGTAAAGCAGGAACCTCGCTTCTTGTTCACTAGGAACATGTTAGAACATAGATGCTCAGTAAACGTTTCGCAAATGAATGGATGGATAATGAATGAATGAATGCAATGTCTGTCATCGACTGTGCTTAAGAAAAATCAGAAAGGTTTCAAAGGGAAGACACTACTTAAGCTAGGTCTTGAACAAAACCATAGTTCACCCGATAAACAATGAGCACACCACATTAGAAGCAATTCCAAGCTTAAAAAACTATGTGCGAAAGGCTGGCAGAAACATAAAACAGCAAAATATGCTTGGACACAAGCAGCTCTGTATAGGGTATGTCAGACTGTAAGGGTGGGAATACCTGGCCCACTGTAGTTTTTCCAGAGTAAACAGCTGTAACTAATATCCTCTCTACTCAATTACAACTAGTTGTCTTACATCTCTGAAGATCACTGCAAGTGCTGTGGTTGTTTTAAAATATGGCCATGGCCCAGCCAGGCGTGGCTCAGCAGTTGAGCATTTACCTAGGATCCAGGAGATCGGGCTCCGATTCCCAGTCAGGGCACATGACCGGGGTTGCGGGCTGCAGCCGATCAATGATTCTCTCGTCATTGATGTTTCTCTCTCTCTCTCCCCCCTCCCTTACTCTCTCTGAAATCAATAAAGATATATTTTAAAAGATAAATAAAATATGGCCATGAATTATGCAACTCCTCCCTTCAAAAAGTGGAACCTAATTCCCTGCCCCTTAAATATGAGGCAGAAGTTTTTTTAAACTGCTTCATTTCTAACAAATAAAATGTAGCAAAAGTGCCAGTGTATGATGTCTGAGATTGGGACATAAGGGGGTCGCGGTTTCCTCCTTGCTTTGGAGGAAGCCAGATGCCAGAACATGAGGACACTCAAGCAGCAATACGGAGGGGTCCATGTGGAGAGGATCTGAGAGCCGGTTGTTGGCAGAAGCCCTAACCTGTCCATAGCTGTGGATCCTCCAGCCCCAATCAAGCCTTCAGATGACAGCAAGTTAGAATCAACTGCTAAGCCCCTCTCAGGTTCCTGAACCACAGAAACTACAAAGTACAGGATGTTGGACAGAAGACAAGAATTTTGTTTTTGTTCTGTTTTTAAATGAGGAAGCACCTGACCAAGTTAATACACTGAGAAAAGGGAAACTATGAATATACATCTATCTATCTATCCATCCAAGATTTACCAATAGACAGGAGTTCCCACTCCGTGCAAAGTGCTACAGTCAAAACAAAAACACAGTCCGTCTTCAAAAGTCTAGTTGAGGAAACAAAACCAATACACACTTAAGAAATTAAACAGATTATATATATATACTTTATATATATACACATACACACACATATATGTGTATATTTATATATACCTGATACGCACACACACCTGATACATAGTTATGTGCCACATAATGACGTTCTGGTCAACAACATACTTCATATACAAAGGGGGGCCCCTAAGATTATGATGGAGACGAAAAATTCCTATTGCCTAGTGACGTCATAGCATCGTAACTTTGTAACAGAACACGTTACTCCGTGTTTGCGGTGCTGCACTGGGCGTGTAGTACAGGAGCACAGCTCACACAATTCCAGAACGGACAGCACCACCCAGGTGTGACGATCGCACAACCACGAAGTCACCGAGTGATGTGTTTCTCCCAGTCACTAAGCAGCGCGGGTGAATGTGTGTGTGTCTCATATATTTATGTATCGGGTACACTATAATTTTTGGTTATATGGCAACGTCTCGTGTCAATTAACCAATGTTTACCTGTGGGCCCGTAATGGGGAGGAAACCCAAGACTTTTGTAACCGTGACCATGACAGACCTAGGCCCCTTCCAAAACGGGGAGAAGTGGACCATTCGCGTAGGCACGCCTTAAATTCCCAGAGGCCGTCTTCACGGGCACGCAACGGCCAAACAAGCCTCGCCACCACCTCCTCAGTTCTCCTCCTCGGGCAGCTGGCATTACAGAGAACTTACATTTGAAGGCCAACATCACGGGCGAAGATGAATTAACATCCTTCCCTTCTCTTCTCTGGTTATGAGGGAAATTGTCATGCTTCCTTTTCCTGAACCCTCCTGATCCTTATGTAGAGAAGGAGAAAAAAGTTGGCGAGGCTCTGCCATCACCGAGGGGTGTCCAACCCTACCGTCGGCAGGCACCCCCTTTCCCTCCGTTAGCACCAGGCGCCCGCAGGGCCCGCGCCTCAGGGCCTTGCCCAGCCCTGCCTCTTCCCCCCAAACCTTAAGCTCGCTCGGCCAGGCCACCACCAATATAGGCTCCCCGATCTGGCACAAGGTGGAGTAATTACCCAGCTAAGATTTTTTTTTAAAACAACTCGTGCGTTTAAGAAAAGGAGAGGCGTTACGGGGCCAGCGTGGGCGGGACGGGCGCCAGGGCCGCCGCCCCCCGCCTGCCAGGGTCGCGGCGTCCCTCGCGGGCGAAGGGGGAAATCCGACACGCCGCCTGGAGGTCCTCCCCCTCGGGGTAAATAACGCCCAGCGCTGTCGAGGACGCCACCTTCTTTGTTGCTCATGTCGTCACGGCCCGCGGCGAGACGAGCGGAGACTGAGGGCCTCCGAGCGGACTCTCTCAACCTGGCGACGACGACGCGCCAGCCGGAAGCGCCCGGCCGCAGCCACTCCAGCCCGTGCCTCCGCCCTCGCACACTTCCGGCCTGCGTCAGGACCTCGCCGCCCTGGCTCCGCCCCGCGCGTGGTCCGGAGGGGGCCTCGCGCCGGCCAGCCGCCTTCGGGCCTGCTCTTTGCCGTGCCTGAAGACAGAAGCGACTTTACACGCTTCAATGCATGCGCTGCTAATACGGGACACGATCTGTCCTCCTGGAGGTGAGGTTGTGTGAAGGTGGAAAAGCGACGGACAATGGGCGTGAATTTTTGCTTAAGGCGCCTTTGGAAACACCCTCGCGTTCCCTCAACGAGGACCCAGCCTCCCGCGCGGTGCCTAGTGGGGGTTGTAGTTCGCCCGCGGAGCCGGTCCTGCTGAGCTCGAGCCAGGCTGGGAGGCGAGAGCGAGATCTCCGTGAGCGCCTGTGGGGAGGTCTTCTTAACATCCAGGTCGAACTTTCCCGAGTTAGTTTTGAAACTTTCCCTTCCTGGCGGCGACTCGAGGATCTATAGTGACGGAAAAATGCAAATCAGTAAGAGGAAGCTTTGCTCCTCTCTCCTGGCTCCCTGGAACCCCGCTGCCCGCGTTCAAATTCGTCTCCGCCATCCAGTGGTTGTGTGACCTTGAAGAAGTAATTCATCTGTAGACCTCAGGTGGTTTTTTTTAATCTGTAAAATAGGGATAGAATAGTACCCGCCTCTTCGGGTCATTTCAAGACTCAGTGAGTTACTGCTAAGGCCCATAGAAGAGCGCCTTTCTCGTAGTAAGTGCTCAATTAAATATTACCATTGATACCTTTCTCTCCAAAAAAAATAATAATGATGATTGAGAGAAGTTAGTAGTAACAGCAGGTGTGCGCTACACTGTGAGCTTTTGATTACGGGCAGGGACCGCCCTGTCCTCAGCCGGGTCGGACCTGCCCCTCCCCCACCGTCTCAGCACCGCCCCCTCCTGGCCTCCGTGAGCGCTCGTCGGGCGGTGGTTTCCCATCATCCAGATTCGCTACTAGGTGGCAGCCCAGCATCCTGCAGGTGCAGACTCAGGCCAAGGCTGGTGAGTTGGGTGACCTGGGCCTGGTAGGGGAAACACAAGTATCTTTTGTTACCCGATCTCTAAATCACCTGCATATCCTAGGCACCTGTTACACACGCCTATTATTTCTCCTTGCTAGTTCCAGAACAGGAGGACGGTAAGTGAGACAGCTTGGCCGGAGCATGGCAGTCATTTCAAGCCCCTGGCACGAGCACTGTAGGAAGGGTTTCGATGTGTGGGCAACCTCTAGGGCCGTTTCCTACTCTGAAGCAAGAAAGTCACCGCCACCCACCATCCCTGTGCATCCCTTTGAATATATGAATGGATCGAATATGTGGATTCCTTGTGGATGAAAGAGGCTCCTGGGCTGAACTGTTGGTTTTCAGTGTGTGTGAGGTCTGACCCTCCTGACATAATCGACAGTATCCCCCGCCCACCCACTCTTCTGTTGGAGATGACTAGACCATGG